CTGTGAATATTTTAGGCGCAAAGTGAAGAATCACGGGCAAAAAGGCCCAAAACTTCGAGATAATCAGCTTTGAGCAGCCCTGGGCGAGTTGTTTATTGAAATGTGGAATTTCTTCTTGGTTCACTTCCCTATGTCCAGCTAAACAACAAGATCCGGGTGGCGATGGTCAATTCTTGAGCTTCGAACTGGCAAAGGTGAGAAATTGTCACTTTTTGACCATTTGTGCCCACGTGTCACTTTCAACGTACTTCTCTATAACATGACCCAGTTGTGATGTGAGTGGTCGCTAGGCCCCGGTGTAATATACTTTGCCGAAAATGCTTTTGGGAAATTCTCGTAAACCTTGCCGAAAATGCTCCCAAACCTTGCCGAAAATGCTCGGAAAATGCTCACTTTTTTGTAATCCTCAGCACACGCCGTCAAAAGACTCTAAACCAGGGAGTCAGAAAATACCGGTATTATACGACTCCCTGGTCAAAACCATTGTTTTCAATTCATAAACTACTCAACAAGAAGCTAACCCACGGAATGCGGAAGTGACGTTCTTGTTTGGGAAGTTTTTCTTCTCTCAATTTTGATACACAACGGCCAAGTGCTCCATTTCCCCCAAAATGCTGCATCATGAGCCCAAAGTGCTGGGTTCATGGATTGTACCGAAAATGCTCAAAAAAATGCCGGCATATTACACGGGGGCCTACAGTCCGTTTCAAAAAGATTTACAATCCTGGCGATCGCCCGCAGAGTTTGGCGTCTTACCGTATGAGCACTCGAGCGCTGCCTGGAAAAACTCACCGTGAACTCGAAGAAATATTCCGCGCGAAAGCAGGAAAAATGACAACTCACTCACGTTGATACTGTCATGTACGTCTGGTTTACAACAAACGAGTTCTTCCTCGTATCGATAATGGAGTCAGAGAGGACATGTCGAAACGAAAGTGTTGTAAATGTTGACGAGCTGCATGGGTCCCAATTCGTTTTGTGACCAAAATAGTTTCTTTGAGCTGCGATGCAATTTACTCACCGTGTGACGAAAACGACATCGACACGGACATATTCCCACTGGCCATGACTTGGCAAAGCTATCCGTGTGACTTCGACGACATTTTGAGAAAAGCAGACGCTTGTGAACGCTGATAGAAGACGGCGTTGACTGCTAAATTCAAATAAATTGGCGATCTTGAAATACTAAAATAAATCTCAAAAAGCTACAGCGCGATGACTTCCATTACAGCGCGATGACTTCCATATTCACTCACACCATTGCAGTGTTGTGGGTGTGTTCACATGGCGTGAGCCAGTCAAGTGTCAGTCAGTTCGGCAGGAAGCGCGAGCTCCAACAACAAGTCGTTTGGTGCAGCCATCTTCTTTGTCTTGTACCAGCTTGATCACCAAAACAATGAAAAAAAGTTTGACTTGAGGATAGGTTGGGATTTGAACTCACAACTTCATGGTCAGCAGACAGCATTCATAACCACAAGGCCAAAAAGGAAGGGATAAATCGTGGGTTTTGATAAAAAATCGATACTGGCTTCCTGGGCAAATTGTAAACCATGGGAAAAGGCCGGAAACCTGGCCGAAATTCTAACTCCTTAACGGTTGGTCCAATTGTTCCGAAACCTTCACAGAACAATTTGCCGTGTCCTAACAAGCCATTCTATGTACTTTGTTGTCCAAATTTCCCTTATCTTCATACTTTTTAAGACCCAAACCTGATTGTAAATCTTTTTGAAACAGACTATAGTGGTCGCATTGATTTGATTTTTGGTTTGCTTGTAGGCCGCTGGCACCCGCAATCAGTTACGCCTAATATTTGGCACTGCTAAGAATAGTTTAGTTGCAAAGTGAAGAATCAGGGGCAAAAAGGCTCAAAACTTCGAGATAGTTTGATATCAGCATTGAGCAGCCCTGGGGCGTGTTGTTTATTGAAATGTGGAATTTTCTCTTGGTTCCCTTCTCTATGTCCAGCTAAACAACAAATTCACGGCGTCGATGGTCAGTTCTTGAGCTTCGAACGGGCAGAATAGTGAGAAATTGTCGCTTTTTGCCCATTTGTACCCACGTGTCACTTTCAACGTACCTCCGTATAACATGACCCAGTTGTGATGTGAGTGGTCGCATTGATTTGATTTTTGTTTGCTTGTAGGCCGCTGGCACCTGCATTCAGTGACGGCGGAAATTTGGCATGGCTGTGAGTACTTTAGTCGCAAAGTGAAGAACCACGGGCAAAAAGGCCCAAAACTTCTAGATAGTTTGATATCAGCTTTGAGCAGCCCTGGGCGAGTTTTTTATTTAAATGTGGAATTTTTTCCTGGTTTACTTCCCTATATCCAGCTTAACAACAAGATCATGTTGGCGATGGTCAGTTGTTGAGCTTCGAACGGGCAGAAAGGTGAGAAATTGTCGCTTTTTGACCATTTGTGCCCACGTGTCACTTTCAACGTACCTCTCTATAACATGACCCGGCTGTGATGTGAAACGTCGCATTGATTTGATTTTTGGTTTGCTTGTAGGCCGCTGGCAGCCGCATTCAGTGACGCCTAAAATTTGGCACTGCTGTGAATATTTTAGGCGCAAAGTGAAGAATCACGAGCAAAAAGGCCCAAAACTTCGAGATAATCAGCTTTGAGCAGCCCTGGGCGAGTTGTTTATTGAAATGTGGAATTTCTTCTTGGTTCACTTCCCTATGTCCAGCTAAACAACAAGATCCGGGTGGCGATGGTCAGTTCTTGAGCTTCGAACTGGCAGAAAGGTGAGAAATTGTCACTTTTTGACCATTTGTGCCCACGTGTCACTTTCAACGTACTTCTGTATAACATGACCCAGTTGTGATGTGAGTGGTCGCATTGATTTGATTTTTGGTTTGCTTGTAGGCCGCTGGCACCCGCAATCAGTTACGCCTAATATTTGGCACTGCTAAGAATAGTTTAGTTGCAAAGTGAAGAATCAGGGGCAAAAAGGCCCAAAACATCGAGATAGTTTGATATCAGCATTGAGCAGCCCTGGGGCGTGTTGTTTATTGAAATGTGGAATTTTCTCTTGGTTCCCTTCTCTATGTCCAGCTAAACAACAAGTTCACGGCATCGATGGTCAGTTCTTGAGCTTCGAACGGGCAGAATAGTGAGAAATTGTCGCTTTTTGCCCATTTGTGCCCATGTGTCACTTTCAACGTACCTCTGTATAACATGACCCAGTTGTGATGTGAGTGGTCGCATTGATTTGATTTTTGTTTGCTTGTAGGCCGCTGGCACCTGCATTCAGTGACGGCGGAAATTTGGCACGGCTGTGAGTAGTTTAGTCGCAAAGTGAAGAATCACGGGCAAAAAGGCCCAAAACTTCGAGATAGTTTGATATCAGCTTTGAGCAGCCCTGGGCGAGTTGTTTATTGAAATGTGGAATTTTTTTCTTGGTTTACTTCCCTATATCCAGCTTAACAACAAGATCATGGTGGCGATGGTCAGTTGTTGAGCTTCGAACGGACAGAAAGGTGAGAAATTGTCGCTTTTTGCCCATTTGTGCCCACGTGTCACTTTCAACGTACCTCTCTATAACATGACCCAGCTGTGATGTGAGTGGTCGCATTGATTTGATTTTTGGTTTGCTTGTAGGCCGATGGCACCCGCATTAAGTGACAACGAAAATTTGGCACTGCTGTGAAAAGTTTAGTCGCAAAGTGAAGAATCACGGGCAAAAAGGCCCAAAACTTCGAGATAGGTTGATATCAGCTTTGAGCAGCCCTGGGCGAGTTGTTTATTGAAATGTGGAATTTTTCTTGGTTCACTTCCCTATGTCCAGCTAAACAACAAGATCAGGGTGGCGATGGTCAGTTGTTGACCTTCAAACGGGCAGAAAGGTGAGACATTGTCGCTTTTTTGCCCATTTGTGCCCACGTGTCACTTTCTACGTACCTCTCTATAACATGACCCAGTTGTGATGTGAGTGGTCGCATTGATTTAATTTTTGGTTTGCTTGTAGGCCGCTGGCACCTGTATTCAGGGACGCCTAAAATTTGGCACTGCTGTAAATAGTTTAGTCGCAAAGTGAAGAATCACGGGCAACAAGGCCCAAAACTTCGAGATAGTTTGATATCAGCTTTGAGCAGCCCTGGGCGAGTTGTTTATTGAAATGTGGAATTTTTTCTTTGTTCACTTCCCTATGTCCAGCTTAACAACAAGATCAGGGTGGCGATGGTCAGTTCTTGAGCTTCGAACAGGAAGAAAGGTGAGAAATTGTCGCTTTTTGCCCATTTGTGCCCACATGTCACTTTCATTGTACCTCTCTATAACATGACCCAGTTGTGATGTAATTGGTCGCATTGAATAGACAAGTTCGCCAAAGATTGTCTGGGTTCGAGACGGGGCAGGGGGGCGCTTTGACCTGCAGCGTGGGATCGACATTTCAAATTTTTCCTGTACGAAATCAAATGTTTGTTCTCTCGAGTTCAGTTGTGTTTATTGGAATTCCTGCTGAGGATCACTGCTGTGTGTTCGACTGTTCTAACCGCCGTTCCAAGAGGCCTGACATATCCTTTCATGTCCTCCCTGCCGATCCTGACACTCGCGCAAAGTGGATACAGGCTGTGAAGCGGGAACACTTCGTAGTGTCTGCCAATACTGTCGTTTGCAGCGAACATTTTACACATGAAAGTTTCTACCCGACTGTGTCTGTGCACCAGCCAGGGGCGAAGAAACCATGTCGTCGAGTGAAGAAAGGGGCTGTGCCGTCCTTGTTTTCTTTCCGACCTCTGCCTCCGACCCCCAGGCTGTCACGCGCAGAACGGTTAGCTGTTGGTGCAGCTCGTGCAGCTGAGCTGGAAGCCCAAAAGCAGCTGCCAAAGCCAGGCGTTTCGGCTGTAGAGTTCAAGCTCCAAGGAGAGCTACGAACGAAGAAATCTAAGGTGAAGGAGTTGGAAGCCGAAGTTGAAAGTTTGAAAGCTGAAGTCACTCACCTTCGCTCACAGCTCTTCCGTTATGCCAATATAATTATGTGACAACGAGGAGGAGATGGAGTTTCTCACTGGACTAAGTAATGGGGCATGGAAAAGTCTGTGGTCCTACCTGCAAGTACGCCCAGGTGCAATCTTGAGTGAAAAATCAGCAGCAAGAGAGCAAGAAGGCCGGAAAATAGCTCGTGGCAGTGGCCGTGTCTCTATCCTGTCACAAGAAGATCAGCTACTACTCACGCTCATGCGTCTTCGCCTCGGCCGACTTCAAGAAGAGTTGGCTTATAGCTTTGGTGTTAGTGAGAGTGCTGTTTCATCGATACTGAAGATGTGGATCAGTTTCCTCTACCTTCGTCTTGCAATGATGCCTATCTGGCCGGAGTGGGATGATGTTGCAAAGTCAATGCCGCAATCGTTTAAACAATCATTTCCGGACACCTTCATCATCCTAGATGCTACAGAGCTACGCTGCGAGATTCCTAGCTCACTCTCATTACAGTCACAGCTCTATTCGTCGTACAAGTCCCATACTACGGTTAAGGGTCTTGTTGGAATCGCACCAAATGGTACATTCACGTTTATTAGCCAACTCTTTACTGGCTGTATCAGCGACAAGCAGCTTGTGGTCGAGAGCGGTATCATTCCACTGCTCGACTCTGTGCCACCAGGCAAGCGTGTGATGGCAGATCGTGGCTTCGCAATCCAGGACTTGCTTGTTAAGCCTGGGCTCATCTTAAACATTCCTCCGTTCAAGGGCTCAAGAGCGTTCATGCCCAAGGAAGATGTTGTCAAGACACAAAAAATTGCCAGTGTTCGTATTCATGTCGAGCGCGCCATCGGCAGAGTCAAGTCAAGATCTCACATCTTCGACAAAGATATACCGTTGGTGCAGTTTGCTTCCATCAGCCAGGTCTGGACAATCTGCTGTTTGTTGAGCAACCTCTCTGGCCCACTGATTGTGGAGTAAGGAGCTAGATGTTGCACTGCTGATCTAGTTTTGCATTGCCCACTTTTGCTGCCATCTGAACTAACACGATCCTCCTAAGTAGGTCACAGCATCGTCCACGTATGTTGCAACCATATTTCTTTACTCACTTCACTCACTTCGCAGAGCACAATGGCAGGCTACCTTCTGCTGCTTCTTGTTCGTGACGTGCACAGTTGCACCTTCTCTCTCTCCCCCCCCTCTGCATAGAGGTGACAACTCGCATCATCTTTGTAGCTACACTCTGTGTAACACCATAATATTTGACATGCACCCTCAGTTCGCATCCCCCTGATGATGGCCAAGTGCCGAAACGTTGTAAATTAACTCTGTTGAATGGCAGCACAAGTTACTACGTTTAACGTATCTGTTCGCTTTCATGGCTTCCGCGATGAGTCGGGTGTGTGTGTGTGTGCTCGTGGGTGCGTATGTTTGATGACAACACAGATTTCACAAGTTGCTATGTTTTAACGTAGCTGTTCGCTATCATTGCTTCCGCAATGGGGCGGGTCTGTGTTTGTGCTCATGTGTTTGATGACAGCACAGATTACTTCGTTTGAAGTACCTAAATACTGGTTCGGATATACAGCGCTATGGGAATATATTTCAGAGATGAAGCTGCAGGAAGCCTCAGCCCTTCTTCACAATATTATTTGACACAGTATATTTTACAGTGTACCACAGAACCTGCAGATGCTGCACAGCGGGCCAATGTTGAGCAAGCAGTGGCATATTGGACAAGAGTGGGGCGCGGCAAGAGTAGCTCCCCCGACCAATGGTATCGGGTTCATCACTACCCACAAGCGTCAAAAGACAAGGAGAGTTTAAAAATAAATAAATATATAATATGTCTTTCCCTCAAACTAGTCAAGATATATACAAGCGAAGATACTGCCAGGATGAGGTTGCAGCATGTTGTTAGGATAATCAGCACAAAATATATGTACAGGAGTGGAATGACCAAGAAGTACGTGGGAGAGAGCAAGCGAGCCAGTGGAGCAAGCTAGGTTGCACAAGCAGACTGTCGCAAGTCTAAAAATGTTACGTCGGCTGCAGGGTTACCAGCAGCAGCAGCATTGAAGTTCAGCCGAGGGTAGTAGTGTGAAAAAAAGTACTCGAGATAATCAGCCGCCTCAGAAGTAGGCACATCTGCAAGAAGTGCACCACTACCCCCCATGGCAATGAGAGTCAAAGAGGATGAAACGCCCCTGGCAAGAACACAGAGAGATTGAGTATGGAGTGACAACAAACACAGCACCGTATGCAAAAGAAGCCACATTCTGCGAGCGAGTTGACATCAACGACACCATTGTGTCCAGAGCAGCAGGTCGGACAAATGACTCAGCACACATATCTACTCCTACACTTGGCTGAAGTGCTAACACTTCATCACATGAAAGGAGTTCGTTGGTGTGCAGAGAATCATAAATACTGTTGCCTGAACGCATAGCTTCACACATGGCAGCAGCACTGGTATCGACAGCACCATCAGCACTAGCAGCCTCAAGACTGTTGCGAATAAACACAGCAGAGATAATCGTGCAAGCATTGCTGCCGTTCCTACCATCAATTGTCGCCTGTGATAAGTCGGGGGGAAGCAACATTTCATATTGCGACCAGGGGGACACAGCGGATCTTGCAGCAGCAGGAGCAGCAGCAGGAGCAGCAGCAGCAGCAGGAGCAGGAGCAGCAGCAGGAGCAGCAGGAGGAACAGGAGCACTACTTGGAACATCAGGCGGTACTGGTCGTTCCAGCTTGCGCAAGTACGGCAAAGCATGCACAGCATAAAACGCAGTGAGTGCCGGCAAAATGGAGCTGCTATAAAGATCAAAGTCAGCATAGATACGCTCCAAGTGAAAGCTCTGTCCTAACCAAACAAAAAAAATCACACCAGGGCAGTTGACATACACCCAGCTGACCTTGTACTTGCGTATAGTATGGATGCTGTCTGCTGAGTTTCAGTTGACCATCCTCTTCTACCAAACAGAAGTTGCTGTCCTGGGCAGTAGCTTCAGCCACAATCAGAGACTTTTCAAAGGCTGCGTACGGGCATTTGACTTCCAACAGCCCATACGGAGGTTGCGCAGACCGGTCAAACACCATTGCGTCAGGGGAAGCACCGATGCACTGGTACATTGGGTCCACTGCAAGACCACAATCTCGTACCGAAACTGGCAGGCCACCGGCACTCTTGACAGACTGATACTTGGCAACAGCATCACGCTCATGCTGTTTCCCATGGCGGATGGCAGGAATGTGTGACAAAGAGCGCTGGTTGAATAGAGACGTCAGGAGCTTTTCCTGGCCAGTTCTACAGTTCACAATTCTCTCGCTGATTAATGCCTCTACGATCACCTTGTGATTATGAGTTATACATACATACATACTTACAGTGCACAATGCGTCGGAAGTTGGATGCAGTAAGGGTGTACATATGGCGATCTATCCACTCCTTGTTCGACGACTGGCCGATGGTTCGGCGTTCCAACGCCTGTGCATCCTGCAAGCTGCATGGCCAAACAAGTCCCATCGAAGTGGGTTCTTTTCGAGCAGGCAGTGGTAGTGGCGGAAACCGTTTCTTCCTAGTCGACGCCGGCAGTGATTGAGGAGCGACTGGGGCGTGATCAGGATTCCTTTGGTAACCCAATGGACTGCCACGAGGTGTCGGTCCATACAAGCTTGTCACAGTAGAAAACTGCCGTGGCAACAGCTGCTTCATGCCACAACCATCAGGCAACAAGTCACGGAAGCGGCTGACATTCTCTACTGACGGTGTCCGCAGCTCTCGCTCCCTGCTCTCGTAGAGGGAACATTTGACAGGTGGGCCCTTCCTCTCCATGGACGCCCTCTCGACAACAGTGTCCATGTTGGGCTTGGGTTCAATGTCTCGTTGTCTGGGACCCCAGCTGCATGGCAATGACGTGACGGACCTTGCCTCCTCAGTGCAGCGGTACTTTTCCAGCACCATCAAGAGGGCAAACACATGAGAGCAGAGGCCTCCATCGACGCCAGCCACACATCCCTCACACGTGGCATACGTTACTGTAGCACTGGTGGACTCCGGGGCTGTAGCAAGGACGAGCTTCTGACAGTACTTTGTCGTTTTGTGCTGTGACGCCCAGCACTTGCCAACAACAAACGAGTTCATGTCACTAGTGGCCACAGAGACATCATGCACGTATCCTCCGAAGAAGAACTCATTGCCTCTCTCCAACGGCCGCCGAACCATCACCACTCCTGCATCATCTCCTCCACACTGCACCGATTTCCCAGATTTCAGCATGTGCTCAATGAAAGTCGACGTCGTCACTGCAGGAAAACTGGACGGATCGTGCGACCAGCCTGACGTGGGGAAGCAAGATGCTTTGGCTGTCTCCTCCGCTGCCACAGCACGAGAGTCAGCGTTGGTGACTGATGACCGAGTTCGCGGGGCATCAGGGTTGTTCTTGTAGAACACGGCACTGGCCAGGGGAAGAAGAGAACAGAGGAAAAATCAGACGTACTTTCTCAAAAACTATTTGACAAAATATGTTTTTACTTACCGTTCCAAGAGTTCGGCTTTCTTGCCGGATAAAAAGGCACCACGCTTTCCCAGGAAGGCTTTCAGCTCTGCCAGGGTCCAGGATGCCATGGGAAGGTCGTCAGCCATCTGTCCCGTGAACAAGACATCTCAGGAAATAAAACAAACTTTCGACAACTACAAGTAGTATGACTGCTTGTCAGTGAAAATCACGATCAAGTTCCGCGATCCGTGATCCGCGATTTCCACCTTGCCCCGTGACACGAACCCAGACAATCTTTGGCGAACTTGTCTATTGATTTTTGTTTGCTTGTAGGCTGCTGGCACCCGCATTCAGTGACGCCGGAAATTTGGCACTGCTGTGAATAGTTTAGTCGCAAAGTGAAGAATCACGGGCAAAAAGGCCCAAAACTTCGGGATAGTTTGAAATCAGCTTTGAGCAGCCCTGGTCGAGTTGTTTATTGAAATGTGGAATTTTTTCTTGGTTTACTTCCCTATGTCCAGCTAAACAACAAGATCAGGGTGGCGATGGTCAGTTCTTGAGCTTCAAACGGGCAGAAAGGTGAGAAATTGTCGCTTTTTGCCCAGTTGTGCCCACGTGCCTATTTCAACGTACCGCTCTATAACATGACCCAGCTGTGATGTGAGTGTTCGCATTGATTTGATTTTTGGTTTGCTTGTAGGCCGCTGGCACCCGCATTCAGTGACGACAAAAATTTGGCCCTGCTGTGAATAGTTTAGTTGCAAAGTGAAGAATCACGGGCAAAAAGGCCCAAAACTTCGAGATAGTTTGATATCAGCTTTGAGCAGCCCTGTGCGAGTTGTTTATTGAAATGTGGAATTTTTTCTTGGTTCACTTCCCTATGTCCAGCTAAACAACAAGATCAGGGTGGCGATGGTCAGTTCTTGAGCTTCGAACGGGAAGAGAGGTGAGAAATTGTAGCTTTTTGCCCATTTGTGCCCACGTGTCACTTTCAACGTACCTCTCTATAACATGACCCAGCTGTGATGTGAGTGGTCGCATTGATTTGATTTTTGGTTTGCTTGTAGGCTGCTGGCACCCGCATTCAGTGACGCCTAAAATTTGGCACTGCTGTGAATAGTTTAGTCGCAAAGTGAAGAATCACGGGCAAAAAGGCCGAAAACTTCGAGATAGTTTAATATCAGCTTTGAGCAGCTCTGGGGCGAGTTTTTTTATTGAAATGATGGAATTTTTTCTTGGTTTACTTCCCAATGTCCAGCTAAACAACAAGTTCACGGTGGCAATGGTCAGTTCTTGAGCTTCGAACGGGCAGAAAGGTGAGAAATTGTCGCTTTTTGCCCATTTGTGCCCACGTGTCACTTTCAACGTACCTCTCTATAACATGACTCAGCTGTAATGTGAGTGGTCGCATTGATTTAATTTTTGGTTTGCTTGTAGGCCGCTGGCACCCGCATTCAGTGACGCCTAAAATTTGGCACTGCTGTGAATAGTTTAGTCGCAAAGTGTAGAATCACGGGCAAAAAGGCCCAAAACTTCCAGATAGTTTGATATCAGCTTTGATCAGCCCTGGGCGGGTTGTTTATTGAAATGTGGAATTTCTTCTTTGTTCACTTCCCTATGTCCAGCTAAACAGCAAGATCAGGGTGGCTATGGTCAGTTATTGAGCTTCCAACGGGAAGAAAAGTGAGAAATGGTCGCTTTTTGCCGATTTGTGCCCACGTGTCACTTTCAACGTACCTCCCTATAACATGCATAGCCAGCAATCACATGTCACCACGTACATTCAAAATCAACAAAATTTTGCGAATCAACCTTTTTTTCAGGATCACTTTTCAACGAGGACGAAGCAAAGTCGGCCGAACGAAGCCTAGAGGAAGAAAATCACCCTCTCCACTTCACCATCACGATACTGACATAGATACGAGATGAAACAACTAAAAAATCCACAAGAAAACTGTACGGCCATCATCGCGCTGACTTTGGTCTGACTTTGGTCTGAAAATTTCTATCACGATCAAAAATGTACGAGGAGCACTCAAAGATAAGCCACAGACGTACCTGTATCGCTCTCTACTCCTTTTTCAAGGCACAAAAGTCGACTCTCCACTCTCAAACTAGGAACCAGACATACCAGTGGTCCTTTTCAGCTGCTCGACGAGCGCAGGAAAGGTTCACCAAGGGGCGCAGAGCAGCATCCATTCCAGAAAAAGAGCTAAAAAACGAGTGAGACTGCATGCCTGAGTCATGAGTACATGTATGAGTACATGCAGAAAATAGTCAATTTCAGCGTTTCTGCTCCAAAGAGCAACAAGCTTAGACTAGAAACAAAGATTACAACAAAGGATAAAACAACAACCATTTTCTGCAGTTTTTTTGCAGATAGCATCCTTGTGCTTGGCCCAGCACGCCAAAAATCACACCTCGGAGGAGTACAAAAATTACAACTCTCAGATGGCCTCGATTGCTGGCCATGACCCAGTTGTGATATGAGTGGTCGCATTGTTTTGATTTTTGGTTTGCTTGTAGGCCGCTGGCAGCCGCATTCAGTGACGCCTAAAATTGGCACCGCTGTGAATAGTTTAGTCGCAAAGTGAAGAATCACGGGCAAAAAGGCCCAAAACTTCGAGATAGTTTGATATCACCTTTGAGCAGCCTTGGGAGAGTTGTTTATTGAAATGTGGAATTTTTTCTTGGTTCACTTCCCTATGTCCAGCTAAACAACAAGATCAGGGTGGCTATGGTCAGTTCATCAGCTTCAAACGCGCAGAAAGATGAGAAATTGTCGCTTTTTGCCCATTTGTGCCTACGTGTCACTTTCAACGTACCTTTCTATAACATGACCCAGCTGTGATGTGAGTGGTCGCATTGATTTGATTTTTGGTTTGATTGTAGGCCGCTGGCACCCGCATTCAGTGACGATGAAAATTTGGCACTGCTGTGAATAGATTAGTCGCACAGTGAAGAATCACGGGCAAAATGGCCGAAAACTTCAAGATAGTTTGATATCAGCTTTGAGCAGCCCTGGGCGAGTTGTTTATTGAAATGTGGAATTTTTTCTTGGTTCACTTCCCTATGTCCGGCTAAACAACATGATCAGGGTGGCTATGGTCAGTTCATTACCTTCGAACTGGCAGAAAGGTGAGAAATTGTCGCTTTTTGCCCATTTGTGCCTACTTGTCACTTTCAACGTACCTCTCTATAACATGACCCCGCTGTGATGTGAGTGGTCACATTGATTTGATTTTTGGTTTGCTTGTAGGCCGCTGGCACCCGCATTTAGTGACGACAAAAATTTGGCACTGCTGTGAATAGTTTAGTCGCAAAGTGAAGAATCGAGGACAAAAGGCCCAAAACTTAGAGAAAGTTTGATATCAGCTTTGAGCAGCCCTGGACGAGTTGTTTATTAAAATGTGGAATTTTGTCTTGGTTTACTTCCCTATGTCATGCTAAACAACAAGTTCACGGTGGCGATGGTCAGTTCTTGAGCTTCGAACGGGCAGAAAGGTGAGAAATTGTCGCTTTTTGCCCATTTGTGCCCACAGGGCTTTTTACCCATGAATCTTCACTTTGCGATTTAACTATTCACAGCAGTGCCAAATTTTCTGGGTCACTGAATGTGGGTGCCAGCGCCTTACAAAAAAACCAAAAATCAAACCAATGCGACCACTGACATTAAAGCTGGCTCATGTTATAGGTAGGTACATTGAAATTGGAAGGTGAGCAAAAATGGTCAGAATCCGACATTTTCTCACCTTTATGACAATAAATTGACAATAACCATCCTCATCTCGTTGTGTAGCTGGACATAGACAAGGGCACCCAGAAGAAGCTCCACATTTCTCTAAAGAACTCGCCCAGGGCTGCTGAAAGCTGAATAATAACCTATATCAAAAGTTTGGGGCTTTTTACCCATGAATCTTCACTTTGCGACTAAACTATTCACAGCAGTGCCAGTTTTTCTGGGTCACTGAATGTGGGTGCCAGCGCCCTACAAGCAAACCAAAAATGAAACCAATGTGACTACTGACATTACAGCTGGCTCATGTTATAGAGAGGTACGTTGAAATTCAAAGGTGAGCACAACTGGTCAAAATCCGACATTTTCTCACTTTTACGCCCATTCGCAGCTCAGAAATTGACTATAACCATCCTCATCTCCCTGTGTAGCTGCACATAGACAAGGGCACCAAGAGAAACAGTCACATTTCTCTAAAGAACTTGCCCAGGGCTGCTGAAAGCTGAATTATAACCTATCTCCAAGTTTGGGGCTTTTTAACCGTGAATCTCCACTTTGCGACTAAATTATTCACAGCAGTGCCAAATTTTCTAGGTCATCCAATGTGGGTGCCAGCGCCCTACAAGTAAACCAAAAATCAAACCAATGCGCCCTCTGACATTACAGCTGGGTCATGTTATAGAGAAGGACGATTAAATTCAAAGGTGAGCACAATGGCCAAAATCCGACATTTTCTCACCTTTACGCCCGTTCGCAGCTCTGAAATTGACAATAACCATCCTCATCTCCTTGTGTAGCTGGACATAGACAGGGGCACCCAGAAAAAGACCCACATTTCTCTGAAGAACTCGCAAAGGGCTGCTGAAAGCTGAATAATAACCTATCTCAAAGTTTGGGGCTTTTTACCCATGAATCTTCACTTTGCGACTAAACTATTAACAGCAGTTGTCGAGAACGGTAGGGGAAGACAGACTAATCAGACTCATTCTCATACCACAGTTTCCTTTCTAAAAACTTCACCTTCAACCATAATCAAAACTTGCCAACAACAACCGTATGTGTGTGTGTGCGTGCGTGCATCATGCAAGCGCGGATCATGCGGAATGCAATGATGCAACTACAAGAAAACAAATCTCGGCTGCAATGAGTGCATTCAGAGAAGAAGAAAACAAGTTCAGATTTAAGTAGTTTGTGATGAGCAGCAAAGACAAACATGCAGGAGAGTATAATTATATGATGAGATGGAGGCGACATTGGGAATACTCGGATTCACAATGTACGCGTGCCATCAGCTGGGTAATCAGAGTCGTCGTTGGACATCGTAAGTCCCAACTCAAATGTATTTGGAATATGATAATAAAATGTTATGGCAAGTTGGACTGTCTGTTGATTAATTACGATATGATCATGCAATGCGGGAGTCTATACTTGCAACTTCAAATTGATATGAAGTGGTCTTCATGATGTGGTGACATTCATGACATTCCCGACAACGAAAGTTATCTTACCCACTCTGCGATACGCTCACGGGCCTTCTCTGCTGCTTTGCGATTTGCCCGCCTAGGCTGGAACATGGTTGGAGCAGCTTCGTCCGCCATTGCCTGTTCCATAGCCGTCGCCGGTGCCGGGCGGTGTTCCATATCACCAGCCTCCACTGCTCCGACGTCATCGACAACGTGCAGCTCGAGCGGATAGAGCTTGCTGATCGGTCTCGACAACACTGCCTTCGATTTAGCCGTCTTCAGCTTGACAGCTCTGACTTGGCCATCGACTCCAGGTAAGATTTCTACCACTCTGCCGAGTCTCCAACTTCCACGTGGCTGGCCGGTCTCTTGGATTACGACCACTTCTCCGACTGTTGGTGTCCGAGAGATGCTACTCCGTGACTGTCGGTGTTGACTCATTGATGCTTCGCGCAGAGCAGGGAGGTATTCATCTTCCCACACCTTCCATGCTACATCCAGTTGTATCTGTTGCCGTTTCCACATCCTCGTGACCTTGGCTGCTGGTGTCTCCGGACCGTCCTCCTCGTCGCTGTCCGTCTGAAAACCGGTTGCCGTTCTTCCTCCACAGAGGAAATGTGACGGTGTAAGGGGTGAGAATGAGGACACATCGTCGTCGTCAACATATGTGAGCGGCCTCGTATTGATCATGCCTTTCACTTCGGCTGTCAGGGTTTCGAGCTGGTCTAGAGTCAGGAGGCACCTTCCAAGACTCTTCCTCAAGGCTCTCTTGACAATGCTCACCAGCCTCTCGTACACACCGCCCTTCCATGGCGCAAACTCTGTTGTGAAGCTCCATTCGATATTCTCCGTTGAGAGATACTATAGCAGGTCTGGGTTGGCAAGAATCAGCTTCAGATGATCGTCCAGGACAGAGCGTACCAACTTGAACTGGGGTGCGTTGTTACACACAATAGACTTTGGCTTGCCTCGTCTCGCTGCGAACCGTCTCATGCTGTTCAAGAAGGCTGCTGCAGATAGGCCAGAGACTATGTCCAGGTGTACAGCTCGTGTGGTAAGGCAGGTTACTAGTTTGATCCATACCTTGCCTTTCTCCGTGCCGGTGCGGATCAATAGCGGTCCGAGGTAGTCAAGACCAACGTACGTGAATGGAAGTGCTCTGGTAATCCGTTCCTTGGGCCATGGGGGCATGGACGGCAACTTGAACGGACGCCCTTCGTGTCTTCGGCAAACCGAGCACTGATCCAGGATACGGCGAACGATAGCACGGCCACGTATGATCCAGAACTCTTGCCTTGTCTGGGCCAGGGTGTGTCGAACACCTGCATGCAGAAGCCGTCCATGGACTTCGCTGATAACATGCTTCGTGAACGCGTGATACGTTGGTAGCAGCTTCGGTAGTTTCTGGTCAGTTGGTAGTTCAGCGTTGCTCAGTCTTCCGGCGCATCGCAGTATGCCGTTGTCGTCAATCACAACACCAAGGTTAGCAACTGAACTGTGCTTGGCATTGGTCTTGATAGCTTTGAAGATGTCAGGGAAGGCCTCGCGTTGTACCATTCGAGTCCACCAATCTCGCGCAGCCTGTATGTCTTGTGACACGATGTCGTAGCTGTTGCTGATCTGAGAGAGACGTGGTGAGTTGGGACGCAGTTTCTTCAGGAACTTCATGCACAGAGCAGTGATTTTCAGGACCTTCCTCAAACTGCTTGTTCTCGTAAGCACGCTGCCGAGGCCAGATGGAATGGTGTGTGGACTAGGTTGGTCAGTAGCACGATCGCTGCCACCAGTCACCAGGCTTGCGGTATGAAGCGTTGGTGCTTGCTCCTCCTTGCTGGCTAGGTCGGATTCGTCAGCTGAGAGTGTGAGGTCCTCGTCTGGCCATTGATCTGATGTGGTACGTAACCAGTCCGGACCGTGCCACCATGACTCCTGAAGATCGGCCACCAAACCGCCTCGGCTAGCGACATCAGCAGGGTTGCACTCTCCAGGAACATGGCGGAAGGACAAGAACTCGCCGCAAGTACGAATCTCTGACACACGGTTGGCCACGAATACGGACAGTGGCTTGGATGATTTGATCCAATGCAGAACACAACGCGCGTCCGTCATAGGGTGATGTTGGTAAGTGGGAGATCGAGTTCATCTTTGCAGAATCGGGCTGCCCGTGAACCAATCGTCACGCCAAGTAGTTCCAGCCGTGGCAGGGTGAGACCGTTAGGCTTGCCGTCCTTGGACTTCAGCGGTGCAAGACGTGTCTTGGCGAAGAGGAGCTCACAGGTTGTCATCATGGCTATGGTTGTGCGGAGGTAGACCACAGTTGCAAAGCCCAGTTGTGACGCATCGGTGAAGACGTGTAGCTGGTAGGTAGCATCGGTTCCATTAGCAATTGGGTTGATTTGCCTGGGGAACGATAACGAGCTGACCTCGCTCGAGGCTGCATGGAGGGTCAGCCAGGTGTCCAGTAGGTGTCCAGTCAAGACAGTGTCCCAGTCCATACCAGCTTGCCACAGAGAGCGTAAGAAGACCTTGATACGAAATGTGACCGGAGCAACCAGTCCCAATGGATCGTACAATGATGCAGCATACTTAAGGACAGCGCGCTTAGTCCAAACCGGGTCGGTGCTGGGTTGGGTTCGAGGACAAGCGAGCTGTTGACTGTCATCCTTGGTGTGCCACGTGATTCCAAGAACGTTGACACTGTCGCCCTGTGCCCTTTCCTTGGCATCCATAGCTGTCGTAGGAGACACTCCACGGTCTCGAAACTTCGATGGATCTCCATGGGCCTGTTGGGTGGTGCCGGTAGTGCTTCCAAACGGCTGTACAGGGATGCAATGATGATCTCCGCTGAGCCATACTTCGTCTTCAACAGATCCTTGATGGTGGTATAGTTTGCACTTGTCAACGAGATGCCCGCTATGGCCTTCGCCGCATCGCCGGAAAGGCAAGATTTCAGGTATGAGAACTTGCTGACATCCGCAATGGGCTGGTTGTCGATGGAAGACTGGAATCGCTCCGGCCACTCAATCACCTTGCCAGAAAAGGACGGTAGAGTCAGCTTTGGCAGCTGGACGTTGAGGCGTGATGGCTGTGGGGCAGTACTGAGGCCAGCTGCCGCGGTTGCAGCGTGGGCTGCCGCTAATGCCATGGCCTGTATCATGTCCGGGGAATTGGTTGGTGTCGGGACAGTTGGCTGGGCCTGTGTTGTATCCGTATGCTGAGCCTGAGCCACAGGGTTCTGAGTAGTAGCTCTGATGTCCGTGCCTGTGGACATTGTGCTACGCCTTGCCTCCACACCCGTGCTAGGGCTGTCCAGTCTGCCTGCAGCAGATTCCGTGTCGCCCGTGCTTGTTGCCGGCAATTCCTTTGATTCCAGCAGTTCGCCCGTGGGCCTGTCCGTCCCATCACTGTCCACGACCACTACCTCCTGTATTGTATCGTGCCGGGTGGCCTTCTGGGGTGTTGCTACCTCTGCAGCAAGCTCCGTCACCACTGGTGAATGTGTCCCTACCCCTCTATAGTCGAGTAGTGCACGTGCGTCCGACACACTTGTGCATTCGTGGTCAAAGCCATCATCCCAGGCTTCCAAATCAATTAGTGCGTCTTCCACACGCTCGTCTGCCTTGCAGTTCTCCAGCAGGGTACCAATCTGCTCGGACAGGTCGTTCACTGTGTCAATCAAGGGTAGGATTTTCTCAACATCACTCTGAAGTGACAACAGACTAACGAATTTCTCCTCCGTTTTACGGAGTTCATGTTCGATCCTCCTCCTTACTTGCGTCACCCTTCCCTTGGCCCTGCCTCGCTTTTTGACTAGGTCGTTGTAAACCACTTGGTCCAGGACGTGAGATGTGCTTTGCTTCTCAGTCGTCTGATCCAAGGACTCCTCTCCATCGTTCGTTGTTGTCTGTTCAACCTCTCCGTCCATCGTAACAAAACGAAAGTTGTTGGACGCGTTGGTTCCAAATCCTGGTCTCTACAGCACCATGTCGAGAACGGTAGGGGAAGACAGACTCATCAGACTCATTCTCATACCACAGTTTCCTTTCTAAAAACTTCACCTTCAACCATAATCATTGGCAAAACTTGCCAACAACAACCGTATGTTTGTGTGTGTGTGCGTGCGTGCATCATGCAAGCGCGGATCATGCGGAATGCAATGATGCAACTACAAGAAAACAAATCTCGGCAGCAACGAGTGCATTCAGAGAAGAAGAAAACAAGTTCAGATTTAAGTAGTTTGTGATGAGCAGCAAAGACAAACATGCAGGAGAGTATAATTATATGATGAGATGGAGGCGACATTGGGAATACTCGGATTCACAATGTACGCGTGCCATCAGCTGGGTAATCAGAGTCGTCGTTGGACATCGTAAGTCCCAACTCAAATGTATTTGGAATATGATAATAAAATGTTATGGCAAGTTGGACTGTCTGTTGATTAATTACGATATGATCATGCAATGCGGGAGTCTATACTTGCAACTTCAAATTGATATGAAGTAGTCTTCATGATGTGGTGACATTCATGACAGCAGTGCCAAATTTTCTGAGTCACTGAGTGTGGGTGCCAGCGCCCTACAAGCAAACCAAAAATCAAACCAATGCGACCACTGACATTACAGCTGGCTCATGTTATAGAGAGGTACGTTGACATTCAAAGTTGAGCACAAAAGGTCAAAATCCGACTATTTCTAACCTTTCTGCCCGTTCGCAGCTCAGAAAATGACAATGACCATCCTCATCTCGTTGTGTAACTGGACATAGACAAGGGCACCCAGAAAAAGACCCACATTTCTCTAAAGAACTTGCCCAGGGCTGCTGAAAGCTGAATAATACCCTATATCAACGTTTGAGGCTTTTTACCCATGAATCTTCACTTTGCGACTAAACTATTCACAGCATTGCCAGTTTTTCTGGGTCACTGAATGTGCGTGCCAGCGCCATACAAGCAAACCAAAAATCAAACCTATGTGACTACTGACATTACAGCTGGCTCATGTTATAGAGAGGTACGTTGAAATTCAAAGGTGAGCACAACTGGTCATAATCCGACATTTTCTCTCTTTTACGCCCGTTCGCAGCTCAGAAATTGACAATAACCATCCTCATCCCGTTGTGTAGCTGCACATAGACAAGGGCACCAAGAGAAATAGTACCATTTCTCTAAAGAACTCGCCCAGGGCTGCTGAAAGCTGAATAATAACCTATCTTCTAGTTTAGGGCTTGGTACCCGTGAATCTTCACTTCGCGACTAAACTATTCACAGCAGTGGCAAATTTTCTGGGTCACTGAATGTGGGTGCCAGCGCCCTACAAGCAAACCAAAATTCAAACCAATGCGACCACTGACATCATAGCTGGCTAATGTTATAAAGAGGTATGTTGATATTCAAAGTTGAGCACAAATGGTTAAAATCCGACATTTTCTAACCTTTCTGCCCCTTCACAGCTCAGAAAATGACAATGACCGTCCTCATCTTGTTGTGTAGCTGGACATAGACACGGGCACAAAGAAAAACAGTCACATTTCTCTAAAGAACTCGCCCAGGGCTGCTGAAAGCTGTATAATAACCTATCTCCAAGTTTAGGGCTTAGTACCCGTGAATCTTCACTTTGCGACTAAACTATTCACAGCAGTTCCAAATATTCTGAGTCACTGAATGTGGGTGCCAGCACCCTACAATAAAACCAGAAATCAAACCAATGCGATAACTGACATTACAGCTGGGGCATGTTATAGAGACGTACGTTGAATTTGGAAGGTGAGCAAAAATGGTCAAAATCCGACATTTTCTTACCGTTATGCCCGTTCACAGCTCAGAAATTGACAATGACCATCCTCATATTGTTGTGTAGCTGGACATAGACAAGGGCACCAAGGGAAACAGTCACATTTCTCTAAAGAACTCGCCCAGGGCTGCTGAAAGCTGAATAATAACCTATCTGCAAGTTTGGGGCTTTTAACCCGTGAATCTTCACTTTGCGCCTACACTATTCAGAGCAGTGCCAAATTTTCTGCGTCACTGAATGTGGGTGCAAGCGCCCTACGAGCAAACCAAAAATCAAACCAATGCGACCACTGACATCATAGCTGGCTAATGTTATAAAGAGGTATGTTGATATTCAAAAATAAAATAAATTTCACGGTTCGCGTGAGACTCGGCTGGAAGCCGAGTTTTCCGCATCCGCCGTGGGAACGCCACCACCCTCTAGGATCAAAGGCGCAGATGCAGCGCCTAAACGGTGGGAGGTGAGTAGATCAGACCCACCACCAAGTGGTCAAAGACCGAAATCCCATTAGCTGCATCCATGTTACCCTCGTGCCAGGCCACGAGTTCCCAATTAACTGTGGGTCGCAGCACGGCTGGAAAAATTCCTTCCGCTTCCAAGCAGGACTTGAACCTGGTACCCTCTGTTTCTCAATCATGGTCTTAGACCATTCCACTATGCCTGCCTGCCTGTTGATATTCAAAGGTGAGCACAATTGGTCAAAATCCGACATTTTCTCACCTTTATGCCCGTTTGCAGCTCAGAAAATGACAATGACCATACTCATCTGGTTGTGTAGCTGGACATAGACAAGGGCACAAAGAGAAAGTCACATTTCTCTAAAGAACTCGCCCAGGGCTGCTGAAAGCTGAATAATAACCTATCTCCAAGTTTGGGGCTTGGTACCCGTGAATCTTCACTTTGCGACTAAACTATTCACAGCAGTGGCAAATTTTCTGGGTCCCTGAATGTGGGTGCCAGCGCCCTACAAGCAAACCAAAAATCAAACCAATGCGACCTCTGACATTACAGCTGGGTCTTGTTATAGAGAGGGACGATGAAATTCAAAGGTGAGCACAATGGCCAAAATCCGACATTTTCTCACCTTTATGCCCGTTCGCAGATCAGAAATTGACAATAACCATCCTCATCTCGTTGTGTAGCTGGACATAGACAAGGGCACCCAGAAAAAGACTCACATTTCTCTAAAGAAATTGCGCAGGGCTGCTGAAAGCTCAATAATAACCTATCTCAAAGTTTGGGTTTTTTTACCCATGAATCTTCGCTTTGCGACTAAACTATTCACAGCAGTGCCAAATTTTCTGGGTCACTGAATGTGGG